GGCTGGACCTACTCGTCCAACTTCAAGGCCCCGGCCGCGACCGCCGCCGGGCGCGAGACCTTTGCCCGCACCTGCGTCGACCTCGTCAAGCATCTCGGCTTTGACGGCATAGACATAGACTGGGAATACCGCAAAACGACGACGAGGCGCGCGACCTCGTCGCCCTGCTGGGCCGCTGTACGCGGCGCCCTCGACGCCTACGCCGCCACGCTGCCGGTGCCGTACCACTTTGAGCTGTCGGTCGCCTGCCCGGCGGGCGCGCAGAACTACGAACGCATGCGCCTCGCCGAGATGGACCCGCTGCTCGACTTCTGGAACCTCATGGCCTATGACTACGCCGGGTCGTGGGACGCCAGGGCCGGGCACCAGGCGAACCTGCGGCCGTCGGGCGCGAACCCCGGCGCCACGCCCTTTAGCACCGTGGCGGCGCTCGAGGGCTACACGGCCAAGGGCGTCCCGGCCGACAAGATCGTCCTGGGCATGCCGCTCTATGGTCGGGCGTTTGAGAACACGGACGGGCCCGGGTGTGCATACCAAGGCGTCGGCGAGGGCAGCTGGGAGCAGGGCGTGCTGGACTTCAAGGCCTTGCCGGGAGAGGGGGCGCAGGAGGTGGAAGATGACGAAGTCGGGGCGAGCTGGTCGTGGGACGCGGGGCGGCGGAAGCTCGTCACGTACGACACGGTCGGTATGGCGCGGAAAAAGGCACAATTCGTACGGGAGCACGGGCTCGGCGGAGCCATGTGGTGGGAGAGCAGTGCCGACAAGACGGGCCCCGACAGCTTGATTGGAACTGTCGTCCAGACTTTTGGAGGTCCGGGAGGTCTTCGGCGGCAGGAGAACTGTGTCACCCAGCCGCATACGAAGTACGATAACCTGCGAGCCGGATTTGAGTAGCAACTTCCCTTTCTCGGAATTATCGGCTTTGTGTTACGAGAATCCGAATGCAGACATCACATGATATGCACAGCAATTGAAGTGAGGTAACTTGAAAGCATTGTCATTGCCAGCCTCTGATGGGCTGATGGTGTTTTGCTACATCAACGCCGCGGCCATCCTTCCTTAGCCGACTGAATGCCCATCCCGAAACCCGTGCATGTCGTGTCATCTCACTCTTTTTTTTCGTCCATCGTCCATCAATGCTGTCGCTTATTTCTGGTCGAAGACGTAGGTGAGGTGGCAGCGACCGCAGTACTGCCTGTCCTGCATGGCGGCCATGAAGACACCAGCGCCGCACTGTCCGAGGGGTCAGCATTCTGTTCACATGGTGCTTCTCTGTTGAGGGGGGCGAGATTCTGTACATACCTCGGGGGCAGGGCACTCGCGGCGGAGACGCTCGATCTTGCCGTCAGAGTCGACCTTGTAGTACTTGAGGACGGCCAGCTTGGTCTTCTTGCGCTTGTGCTTGATCTTCTTGGGGGTGGTGTAGACCTTCTTCTTGCGCTTCTTGCCACCACCACGCAGGCGGAGCACGAGGTGCAGGGTGGACTCCTTCTGGATGTTGTAGTCGGAAAGAGTGCGGCCATCCTCAAGCTGCTTGCCAGCGAAGATCAGACGCTGTTGGTCGGGGGGGATGCCCTCCTTGTCCTGGATCTTGGACTTGACATTGTCGATGGTGTCGGACGACTCCACCTCAAGGGTGATAGTCTTGCCCGTGAGGGTCTTGACGAAGATCTGCATGATTGCCTGCTGATGGTCGTTAGTTGTTGCTCCTCGCAGGGAAACTGACCGTCGGCGTTCAGGCGATGAAGTTTTCCGAGAAGAGGAAGATTTCGACTTTCTTCGTGGCGCGGCGGCCACATCGCGCAATGAGAATAAAGGCGCGAGTGAGCGTTGCCAGTCGACGGCGACAATCACCCCTTCCCGGGCTTCATCGCGCAAACGAGGACGACAGTGTGCAGCATCTTCCAGACATACCTCGACAAATATTTGCCTTCCTAAGCAATCCTTCAGATGGTGCGGTCGTGGGGGAGAGAGGAGAAGAAGTAGATATGGGTTGGTGTTGCGCCGGCGTAAAAAGAATTGGTGGTGGGTGGAGCCCCGGGGGGCGAGCCAGCGAGCGAGCGGGCGACAGGGCAGGCAGGGGGTCGCAATGGTGCTCCAGAGACCAGGGCAGAGTCAGGGCTTGGACATTTGGTAGCGTTGCTTTGGCGAACCCACAAAGATTCACCATACCGCGCCTCAAGCCACACGTGACTAGGGTTGATCTGGCATCGAAATACTGTGCATCACCAGAGTGGATCCCAATACAAGCGAGTTCCCCCAATTGTAGGCGTTATTCTTTCCCTCAGGACCCGGACCCCCCCTTGCAGCCCACCGAACGTCAACTTTTCCTCGACACAGAAAAGCTCAGTATGTTGATTCTTCCTTCGTCCTTCACATCAGCCGACTAACCCCAGCAGATCCGTCAAAATGGTCAAGAAGAGAAAGAACAAGTACGCCTCAACCCGATCGACCCTCCTCGAGGCACTCGACCGCCATGCCTATCGATCATAGCTAACAACCTCCCCAGCGGCCGCAACAAGAAGGGCCGCGGCCACGTCAAGCCCATCCGCTGCAGCAACTGCTCGCGATGCACGCCCAAGGACAAGGCGATCAAGAGGTTCACCATCCGCAACATGGTCGAGTCTGCCGCCATCCGTATGCCACCTTGCGCTCTGTACCCCTCTCTGGATTACGCTGACAACAGTCTAGGTGACATCTCTGACGCCTCGGTCTTCGCCGAGTACACCGTCCCCAAGATGTACCTGAAGCTGCAAGTACTGCGTCTCTTGCGCCATTCACGGCAAGATTGTCCGGTACGTTCGTCGCAAACGGGACCGGCTGCGCGCCTCGCTGCGCGCATGCGCTTCAGATGAGCCTTGGTCGTGTGGTCGCCCGCCACTGTCTCTCCGTCCGCACCAGTCTCGTCCAACGACGAGTCGGGGCAGCAGGAGGAGCGAGAGTGTCGTCAGCACCACACGAAGCTATCTGAAGTATCCCTTCAGCAGCAGGATCTTTGCTGACAAGGTTTTAGTGTCCGCTCCGTCGTCGGCCGCCGCAACCGTGCCCCTCCTCCTCGCGTCCGCTACAACAAGGACGGCAAGAAGATTGTCCCCACCCAGGGCGCCAAGACCACCACTGCTTAAACGGTGCATGTCATGTTTGGGAGGAAGCGCAGCGGATGAACACAGCCAAAAGTCTTTTTCGGCTCATGAATCACGAAACGGATCATGGCAGGATGGGCCGGTGTCTAGGGATCGGGCCATAGACAATGGAAAAAATAAGCCAGATCAAGCTACCGTGATGTGATGTGCATGTGAACTGCATTTGAAATAGTGTTCTCAGGTCTCTAAGCTGTGCTTCAACGTGGTTTCAACAATCTCTGCCGACATGCCAACTTCATGTCGCTCGCTTGTTCCATGCACCACCGCGAGCATCCCTATCCACACCTCCAAACATCCTCCTCGCCAACCCCGGCGCATTACACTCTGTGCCATTGACGCATATGTTTGTCTCGCAGCAGCTATCCACCAAGCAAGCCATTCCCTCGCCACAGGGTCTGTCGGCATCACAAGCATCGTACCCCTTACACAGCCCAGTCCTAAACGCAACCCCTGAACCGTCGACAGTCCTTCCACAGATGCAGTTCGAGCCCGGCACCAGCGCCTCACGGCCGTATGACCCGTCCGCGCCACCGCCAGTACACGTACCCGCGTTCGGACAGCAAGCCAGCTGTTGGCTGTCCGTGATGTTCCTCGTGTACTCGAGTGTTGAGTTCGGTGCTGCTCTCAGCGTAGCCAAGACGACAGCCGACGACCCGGCCAGCGTGAGGTTGAACGGTGTCGGTGCTTGGTGGAGCGCACGGCAAGCTTGCCTGCGGAGAGCTTGAGCGCCACCGTGGGAGGCAATCGTATCTTCGAGTGCAGACTGGCCGCGTGTCGTCGAGGCGAAGAAGTCACCCGCCGGCTTCCACAGGGCGCGGAATTGGTTGAGGAGGGCGGCAATGGTGGTCAGTGTTCTAGGACCAAGGTTGAGCCCCGGTTCCAGGAACGGCTGGAACAGCGAGGCTTGGGTCAACCGAGGCCCCATCTGGTTGAGGAGCAGGGCCCAGATTGTGGTGAGGCGTGGACAGGCGCCGGGCAGGCGGCCGCGCGCAAGGCGAGATAGGAGCGCGTCTACAGAGGCCTCGCAGCGCATTTTCCGTCGAACTGGTGCTTGGAAGGGGCATGTTGCGACGAAAGTACCCGGAGGCCCCTTGCAGTGTCTGGCAGGGCAGAGGCCCGATGCGAACGGTGGGACGGAGTTCGAGGCGCAGTGGCTCGCCGCACTGGCCCTTCATTTTGAGCAGTACGAAGAAAGACTCAAGAGCCATCATACGTGGCTTCACATCATCCCTCAAGCCCCTCGCGTCATTTCGATCGTTCGACGTAGTGTTGCCATGAGAAGGCACAGCATCGAGGCATGTGGTGTTCGTAATGTTGTTCAATTGGCCGAAAAAATTGTCAATCATGACATCAACCTTGACCTTGCACGTCGAACTCGCAAAGTGGATGCCGTTATTGTCGATGGCCAATGAGTTTCTGTCTTTGTCTTGAATCACGATGCGGCCGGGATCTGAAATGTCAAAGAAGAGGCTGTTTAAGGCTTGGTCTAAAACGCGTACATACTTTGCTTGCGTGGCATTTTGGTCAAAGTAAACAGCCTCCACATACGGAGGGTTGCGATTTGTGTTGTTAAGACGTGACTCTCGGAGACTGCCAGTCGGCGTAGGCACCGCATAGCAGCCGGTCGCATCTAAATCACCCGTGACACTGACGCCAGTGAAGGTTCGGGGTCGGGCGGCGTATGTGTTGCGAGTTTGTGTAGTTGTAGTTGATGTGAGGTAGGGGATGGTTGTTGATCGTGTCTTGGAAGCTTTCGACGTGGGTTTTGGGCCGGAATGTTGTGAGGTAGAGCTAAAGCCGGAACGAGTAGTCGTTGTCTGAGATTCTGTCGTTCTGCTTTTGGTGTGAATATGGCTTTGCGTGCTGTTGTGTGGTTTGGAGACGTGGGTGCTTTCGAGCCCGCAAGTGGACGTCGTTGAGGAAATAACAGGCTCATCAGAACGAGTCGCAGCAGCGCTGTAACTGGAGACCTGCCCAGAAGATGGAATTGATAGTGACAAGAGACAAGAGCACTATCGTAGTCAGTTGCCTGATCGAATACTGACAGAAGCAGTAGACTTTTGGGTGCAACTCACCGCGGAAATCAACCGGTCAGGAGCGTACGTAGCAGCAGCCCGCGGCGGAGGCACCGTCGTGCTCAGGTCATTGGGGCCGAGCAAGGAGGCGCAATAAGGCCAAGCATCAGCTCGTTCAAAAATGCGAATGAGGTTATCGGCAGAGCATTCAGCCCAGACCGAGAGAACATGGGCCAAAATGGCGAACAAAGACAGAATCAGCATATCGACAAGACCTTCAGTTTTCTGTTTGCATTTAAGATGACGCAAAATAGGATGTCTGGGGGGAACACGTTACGCACTGACTGGAGTCTGTTTTCGCAACTATATAACAACCCAATTCAGTCGGAACTTAAGATAACCCTAGAGCTCGAACTCTTCTTTGACGAGCTGAAAACCATTGGTCTCAGCCTTTTACGGGCAAGTTCGGTAGCATGCCGTTTAGAGAACCTTGTATATCCATCTTGGGAAGTTGGGACACCGATCGCTTGACAGTATGGAATTCATGGAGTTCACAAGCTTATTGTTTGCTGACCTCGTTCCTGGAATGTGTCACCACACAATTATGGCCCCCGACAGCACCTTTCATCCCTGACTCTTTCAACCATAACTCAGATCGGCCGAGTAACGGCCCTCGCATCAGATCCTGCAATTGAGCTTTTCAGCCAGTCCAGGGGTAAAATCACACAAGACGTGGTAGACAGGTTCGACTCGTTGTGCAGACTATCGACTTGCCATGTCACCATTACACCTACCGCCGAACCCACATGCTAGGTCTTCGCGCGCTTGAGACACCGTAGCTGGAGTATGACAGACTTGCTTCTACTAGATTGCTATTCGCTCACGACCGTGGTGGAGATTGCAGTTTCTCGGCTATTGATCTCGTGCGGTTCGGACTCTGAAATCAGAGAGCTACAAGACAAATCACTGAAAACCTCGATCATCGGCAAAGGAGAACACGCGAGTCGATCCAAACACAGATATTTCATGAACTCCGCCCAGTCACTAAATCATACCCTTGCCCAACCCTTCTCGTGAATCATGATCCTCAAGCTGTACACAAACATGCCAATCATCCCCCACGCCCCCGGCGTCATTATCATCATGACCGCGCAGTCATTTGCTGCGTCCCCGTCGCCTGCGCCTGCGCCTGCGCCTGCCTCTGCCTCGTGATGTAGTCCTGGTTCTCAATCGTCACACTCTTCGTCATGTGGTTCACCTTGTACACGCCGACCAGTCTCGCCGCGAGCTCGAACATATTGTTCCGCAGCGAGATGACGATGAACTGGGCGTTCTTGGTGCGCTCCTTGATGTAGTTGGCCACGATTGAGACCTGTGTCTTGTTAGCATCTGCCCATAGTCTCAACGATCCAGCACAACTTACGTTACGGAAATCAAGAGCCGCGTCAATCTCGTCCATGACGTACAGCGGCGTCGGCTTGTAGTGGTGGAGTGCGAAGACGAGCGCCAGACTGCTGAGCGTCTTTTCACCACCAGACAGGTTGCTGATGTTCTTCCAAGACTTCTTCGGTGGCATGACGCTGAAGAGGATGCCCTCGCTGAAGGGGTCAAGAGAGTCCACGAGCTCGAGCTCGGCGTTGCCGCCCATTGTGATCATTTGGTACATCTCCTTCAGCCTCAGCGAGATCATGCCGAAACCCTCCATGAATCCTTCCAATCGTAGCCGGCGGAGCTCGTCGCACCGCTTCTTGGCCACATCGCGCTGGCCCACTGCCGATGCGAGGTCCGAGGATCGCGCCGCATGCTCTTCCACGCGCCGACGGTACTCGGCCAGCACACCGAGGTCGACATTGACGTTCTGCGTCTTCTCCTCGAGTGCCGCAATCTCCCCTTTGAGCTTCTCCTTGCTCATATCCGCCAGCTCATCTGGAGTGTACGAAGGGAGTTCCTGCGGCTGGCGCACGCGCGCCGTGGGATCCGGTCGCACCGTTGTGTCAGCGTCCTCCATGCTGGCGTCCTCATCCGCCTCCGGGGCGTCCATGTCGACGTCCTCCTCTTTAGGCTCATCCTTGATAGGCGGCGCGTCCTCAGACACAGACTCTCCAGTGAGATCCTCAACGTTTTGCAGTACAAGCTTTGATAGCTTATCGTCCCAGTAACGCAACCTCTTTTCGTTCTCGTTCAGCTGCTTCTGGTTCTCCTCGAGCTTGTTGCGCATCTCAATCTCGACGGCCCGCGTCTCATTCAGCTCGGCCGTCTTCCCGTTGAGCTCCGTCTTGAGGGCTGCGAGCTCCTCCTTCTTGACTGCCAGCGCCTCCTGCGCCGCCTCGACCCGGCTCGTCAAAGATTCTGCGTTCTCACCCTGGTTCTCAATCTCATTGTCGAGCTTCTCGAGATCACGCGCCGCCGCCTCAATTTCTTTGGTTGCCTTGACGTGGTCTTTCTCAAGCTTGACACGCTGCTTCTCCGCCTTGGCCTTGCGGACCTCAGCGTTGGAGATATCCTCGCTCTGCGATGTGACGTCGGCTCGCAGCGCGTCAACGTTGGCTTTCTGAATCCGCAGCTTCTCGCCACCGACCTGCATGATCTTGTCTTGTAACGCTTGTATTTCTTCCTCGACGCCAGCTGTCTCCTCGTGCAGGCCCTCGACGGCCTTGTTGAGCTTGGCAATTTCCCCTTCAAGCTCAGCCATTCGGTTGTTGTCCGATTGAGACGGCTGGTGCTCCTTGGCAATGTCCTTGACGCGGCGCTGCGCATCCGCCAGGTTCTTGGCCGCCGACTCGAGTTCGAGGCCAATCTTTTGCATCTTGGTATCGAGCTGCGGGATCTGGTCGTTGAGCGTGCGGAGCCTGTTCTCGAGCTCTCGTTGATGGTCCTGCCACATCTGGAACTTTTCGTCCAGAGCGTCACGGTCTGCCTCGAGCTTGGCAACCTGATCCTTGCTTGTTTCTGAGACCAGCTTGGACGACATGAGACCTCTCTTGACTGTCGTGCCACCACCTGACATGGTACCTGACTTGTCAATGAGCTCTCCGTCGAGTGTCACGACGCGCCATCGTTTCGCGCCGTAGGCGATGCGGTTTGCCTGTGCGAGATCCTTGGCTACAAGCGTGTCTTGCATGGCGTGGTAGAATGCGGGCCGGAAACGATCCTCCTTGGCTTTGACAAGGTCGAACAACCGAGGCGCGTCCTCAGGCGTCTGAATTGGTTGCAAGTCGCGCGCTCGCAGCTTGTCGAGGCAGATGAAATTGCCACGGCCAAGGTTTGTCTTGCGCAGGTACTCGATGCACTGCTGACCGGCCTCGACCGTATCGGTGACGAAGTTGTCTAGCGAAGGGCATGCTGTCGAGATGGCCACGTCGAATTTGGGATCGATGGCGCCAAGATTGCCCAGTCGTCCGTGGAATCCGTCAATACGACCTGACTCCTTCATGCGCATCAGGGCCGTCAAGACGTTGCCCTGAGTCTGCGTCTGGGACAAGTTTGACCGCGCCTCATCGGCCTTTTGCCGTGCGTTAGACACCTTTTGCCGGATTCGCGGCTCGTCCTTGGCGAGAGCCTCAATCTCGGCGCCGACCTCCTTGGCTTCTTCCTCAAGAGCTGCCTTTTCCGCCTGGCAAGCCTCGAGCTCCCGGGCTTTTGCCTGGCGGCTCTCTTTGATGGAAGCAATCTTGGCTTGCATCTCTTCCATGGCGACTTCGCCAGCGTTAGCCTTCTCAAGTAAGATGTTCATCTCGCTCTCGGCCACGGCAATAGCCGACTGCTTCTGGTTGATCTTCTCCTTCCAGGGCTCAAGTGATTTTTGCTTGGCTGCGATCTGGTCGGAAAACTTTTGCGTTTTGCCTTTGAGGCTCTCGCGAATCGTTGTGAGCTCGGCCTCTTCTTCTTCAATACGGATTTCAAGTGAGGCGATCTCCTTGGCGCCTCGCTCAATGAGAGCGGCGCACTCGACGATCGTCTCATCAGTTTCTTTGGCAGAATTTTCGCAGTTGGCTGTGGTCTTTTCCACTTCTTCTGCTTGTCCGTCAGGAACTTGCGCTTCTCGTCGAATTTGACACGTTCCTGCTCAAACTTGGCCAGCTC